CGCCCCCTTCCGCAGACCGGCCCCTCGCTGGGCCCTGCTCCGTTTCAGTCCTCGGGTCCTGCTTCTCCAGCCTGCTCCCTTCGTAGCCTCTTTGTCCCCATCTCCAGCCTTAACACCCCACCCCCCTCCTCCCGGCTCCCCCGAACCCTTGAGCCCTGCCCCTCGGCCCAGGTGTGTCCGGGCTCCTCCCCACCCTCCCAGGCCTCCTCTAGGGTGCGCCGAAGCTCAGCTCCTTCTGGCCACCCTTCTCTGGGCCTGGGCAGCTGGTAACCCCTGAATTCTAATTTATTCTTTTAAAAGGGAAAAACCGGTGTCTTGGTCTCTGAGCAGTGGGTCGAATTCTAGGGATGCCAGGGCACGGGCACGATTTCAAAGGCTGGGGCAGATGCCATCTGCGCCTTGTACTGGGGAGTATCTTGGCTGAACATAAGTGAAGTACTTAATCTCTAATTGGTAAGAAGTTCGGGTTCTCTTTTGCACAACTCATGTAATTTATTCAACAAACCTTTCTTGGGCTTCTCCCAGGCCAGGAGGTCTAGGGTTTGTATGTAACAGGTGGCGAGTGGGCGAGTGAGCGTTGGACTTGACATTGTAGAGGGGCTGCCCTATAGAGATGTAGCCGAGTCTGTGTGTAGCTTTCTGTTTCTTAGTAGACACGTTAAAGAATAAAAAAATACAGGTGACAGTAAGTTTAAGAATATTTATATTTAATATGTTAACTGAAAAAAAAAGACACAAGGTGAGAAGTGACAAGTGTTGATTTGCGATTCAAAAGAGCAGCTATTCCAGAAGCACTGTCTTAGGCAGAAACTCACAGGTTCCTATTGGAGGTGAAGGTAAGGGGTATTTATGATAAAGGGAAGGGGGTAATTACTTGAAAAGAAGGAAGACATTTCTATGGGTATTAATAAACTAAGGAAGGAATTTCTACAGACGCAGATAAGCTAACATAGTGATATTTGTCCTACAGAATGTAACTGATTTTTAGTTCTGTAGTTATGACCTCTGCTTCCCTGTTTTGACTCCGGGAAAGAAAATATCTGCCAAGGACGGCTTCTTGTGGTTGACTGGGCCCAAGTGTAAACCTGGAGTCTGGCAGCTACTGTGGCAGAGACCTCTAAATGCACACTGCCTACCAGAGAGAAGCCACAGGCTGAGCCGCCAGCGTGTGCAACACTCCTGCATCTGAGGCAGCCCTGGTAAGAGAGTTCTTAGGATTGAAATTCAACCAATAGAGCTGAGACTTTCCTGTCCAGTTTGAGACGAGGGAGGGCTATTTGGGCCAATCAAATTGTGAAGATTTGGAGTCCTCAGTTGCATAGCAAGGGGCCAGTCAGGGACAGGGGATGGGCATCATGATATGAGCCAGCTTCACCTTTGTGCTGGTAGAACACTTTCAGTTTCCTTGCAAGACTGTTTCCCCAGCTGAACCCTGAAACCAGAACCTCAACACTGAAGGCACCTTACCTGGGCCACTTCTCCAAAGTTGTTTCAAAATCCTGCTGTTCCAAACTAGTTTCACCAAAAAGGGGGAAGGAGGTGGGAGGGGAGACAGAGAGGACTCAAATAAAATCAGAAATGAAAGAGGAGAGGTAACAACTGACACCAGAGAAATAAAGGAGATTGTGAAGAAATATTAGGGACAACTATATGCCAACAAGTTAGACAATCTGGATGAAATGGATTAATTCCTAGAAACATACAGTCTTGCAAAACTGATTCAGGAAGAATCAGAAAATCTGAATAGATAGATTAAAACTAATGAAATGTAAGCAGTAATCAAAACAAAACAAACAAACAAAACCCCTCCCAAACAACAAAAGTCCTGGGCCAGATAGCTTCACCGGTGAATTTTAACAAACACTCAAAGAAGAACTAACACCTGGCCTTCTCAAATTATTCCAAAAATTTCCAAAAGGAGGGACGACTTCCAAGCTCTTTTTGTGAAACCAGCATTATCCTAATTCTAAAACCAGATAAAGACACTACGGAGAAAGAAAATTATAAGCTAATATCCCTGAGGAGCAGAGATACTAAAATTCTCAACAAAATATTAGCAAACTGGGCCTGGCAATACATTAAAGAGATCATACACCAGGATCAAGCGCAATTTACTCCAGAGGCGCAAGGTTGGCCCAATATCCGAAAATCAATAAACTTGATACTCCACATAAATAAAATGAAGGATAAAACCACATGACTGTATCAACAGATGCAGAAAAAACATTTGATAAAATCTAGCACCCATTTATGATAAAAGCATTCAGCAAAGTGGGAATAGAGGAATCATCTCAACATAATACAGGACTTATATGACAATCCCACAGCCGACATCATGCTCAATGGGCAAAAACTGCAAGCACTCCCCCTTAAGATCAGGAACAAGACAGGGCTATCCACTTTCACAACACTTATTCAACATATAACTGGAAGTCCTAGCCCCAGCATTCAAATGGGAAGAAGATATCCAAATAGGAAAGGAAGAAGTAAACTGTCATTATTTGCAGATGACATGGTACTGTATATAGAGAACCATAAAGATTCTACCAAAAACTACTAGAAGTGATAAATGAATTCAGTAAAGTAGCAGGATACAAAATTAACATCCAGAAGTCAGTTGCATTTTTAGGCACTATCAGAAAGGGAAACTAAAAAAACAGCCTCTTTCACAATTGCTTAAAAATATAACATAGAAATAATTTTTTTTCAATTAGCAATAATTGAGCCTCGGATAAACCTCATTGGCTATGATACTGCACAAAGCTGACCTAGAAATAATTTAACCCAGGATGTAAAAGACCTCTACTCAGAAAATTATAAGGCACTAAAGACTTTGAGGAAGATACAGATAAGTGGGAGTAAATACTGTGTTTATGGGTAGGAAAAATTAACATCACTAAAATGTCCATACTAGCCGAAGCAATCTATAGATTCAACGCAATTCCTATCATGATACCAATAGCATATTTCACAGAACTAGAACAAATATTCCAAAATTTTACATGGAACCACAAAAAATCCCAAGTTGCCTGGCAGGTATGGTTCAGTGGTTGAGTGTCGACCTATGAACTAGGAGGTCACAGTTCAATTTCTGTTCTGGGCACATGCCCGGGTTGCAGGTTTGATCCTTAGTAGAGGGCATCATGCAAGAGGCAGCTGATCAGTGGTTCTCTCTCTTCATTGATGCTTTTATCTCTCTCTCCCTTTCTCTCTGAAATAAATAAATATAGATATATTAAAAATCTGAAGTCATAAAGAACAGAGTTGAAGGAATCATGCTACCTAATAGCAAAGTATACTACAAAACCATAGTAATCAAAACAGGATGGTACTGGTATAAAAAAGGACAGATAAATGGAACAGAATAGAAAGCCCAAAATCTACCCACACTTTTATGGTCAATATTTGAAAGAGGCAAGAACATGCACTGGGGTAAAAATAGTCTATTCAATAAATGGTGTTGAAAAATTGGACTGATTTGTGCCAGCATATGAAACTAGACCACCTTTACACCATACACAAGAATGGATGGTGTGAACTCGCCCTGGCCAGTGTAGCTTAGTTGGTAGGGTGTTGTCCCGTGCACCTAAAGGTTATTGGTTCAATTCCCATTCAGGGCACATGCCTGCGTTGTGGGATCAATCCCTGGTAGGGGCATGCAGGAGGCAGCTAATTGATGTTTCTCTTTCACATCAGTTTCTCTCTCTCCCTCTCCTTTTCTCTCTTTCCAAAAATCAGTAAAATATTAGAAAAAAGAATAAGCATAATGAATTAAAAGCTTAAATGTCAGACTGGAAATCATAAGACATAGGCAGTAAAATCTCAGATATTTCTTGTAGCAATATTTTTTCTGATATACTCTCTCTCCTTGGTCAATGGAAGCAAAAGAAAAAATAAACAAATGGGACTACATCAAATTAAGAAATCTTTTCACAGCAAAGAAAACCATCAACAAAATGAAAAGACAACCCACTGAATGGGAGAACATATTTGCCAATACATCTGATAAAGGGTAAATATTCAAAATGTATAAAGGACTTATAAAACTCAACACCAAAAATACAATCCAATTAAAAAATGGGAAAAGGGCCTGAATAGCCATTTTTCCAAAGAAGACATACAGATAGCCAATAGATAAATGAATAGATGGTTAAAGTCTCTAAATATCAGTGAAATGCAAATTCAAACCACAATGAGATATCACCCCACACCAGTCAGAATGGTTATCATCAATAAATCAACAAACAATAAATGTTAGTGAGAATGTGGAGGAAAGGGAAACCTGGAGAATTGTTGGTGGGAATGCAGCCTGGTGCAGCCACTGTGGAAAGGAGTGTGGACTTACCTCACAACATAAAAAAATGGAACTGCCTTATGACCCAGTAATTCAACTCCTGGGAATTTATCCGAAGAAACCCAAACCATTAATTCAAAAGAATATCTGCACCCCTGTGTTCATGGCATAGTTATTGACAAGAGCCCATCTTTGGAAGCAGCCGAAGTGCCCCCCAGTAGGTGAGTGAGTAAAGACGTTGTGGTACATTTACACAATGGGATACTATTCGGCTACAAAACAGAGCTTGGATGAACCCGGAGAGTAGTTTTAGGGTAAATGAAATAAGCCAGTCAGAGAAAGACAAGTATTATATGATTTCGCTTATTTGTGGAATCTAATGAACAAAATAAACTAACAAACAAAATGGAAACAGAGAACAGGCTGACAGCTGTCAGAGGAGATGAGGGGTTGGGGAGCTGGGTGAAAAAGGTGAATGGG